CCCCCCCCCCGGGAAATTGGAAAGTCTACACCCTTGTAGGGTGCACCTAAAACAGTTCTTTATAAACTAGATTCGGGGCGGCTTATAAAATTATAATACATAGTGCCACAGCCAGCACAGTAAATAGAGGGAAACAGCAACAAATCCTCACTACACTGAAACATTATTTTTTGTTATTAAAGCATTTATTTCTTGCCTTTCCTTGTGGTTCAGGCAGTTTACAGTACTAGTTAAAACCATTTTCATTGTATAAGTGCTTTGTATACGGTTGGGCAAAAATAAACATTTTGCAACACTTCTTAGCAATTCCTGGGCTTGGAATCATGAGGGTTCCTTTGGTAGGGAGTTAAAAAAGAGGTTACATTCACAACTGAAAAGGCCCAGAGATTCACTCTCACAGGCTGAATTAGGCCATCATTCCTAACTGTAGTGAAGGAAGCTCTAGTGTGGTATCTGAACTGACAACGCCATGGTTTGGGATTAGCAGGCAAACCAAAATTGGAAACCATGGTTTTTACATGGGTTTGCAAACTGGGTTAGTGTAAAGTTTCAGTTGATAAACCACAATGACATCTACCAGCTCTGTTTCCAGAGATTTTCACTAGTCACTCAAGTGCTGAGTAGTAGCTCTAAAACATGACTTGGCCTAATTCTTCTAGTCAACCATGGACTTTACCTAACACAGCAGAAGTCTCACGTGGAGCCTAATCAACTTATGGAAAGCCTACTGTTTGACCTTTCAAGAAGTTTCTGATTTAGTTTTTACAATATGTCATTAACTCCTGTTTAGTCACTGTCAATCTGGAATCTTTTACCTTTGTTTGAAGAAGAAAAAAAGAGTTGTATCACTAAGGCAACTTCCTCATACACACTCACTCATTGAACAAAACTGAACTACCTCCTGTATAAAAAAGCATCGGGTCAGGCTTATAAAGTCGCAGGCTTATGCACACTTAACTCAGGTGCCAAGTTGCAACTAAAGCACTGGGGTTTACTTCTAATTATAATAGGGTTGGGTTAAAAAAAATTTAAAGACCTTGACTGAAAAAAATGTTGTTCTACTTTCACTCTATTTTAATCTTCAGTCCTGTGCTTTATAAATTACTAGTAAGCAAAGCCCGTCGTGGTGGTAGACGACGGGCCCTAGATAGGAAGGAAGGGCGAGTGGAAGGGAGGAATGGAGAGCAGGAGGTAGAGAGAGAGAGACAGAGTTAGAGAGGGGGGAAAGAGAGAAAAGGGGGGGGAGACAGAGTGGGGTTAATGTTAGTAATTTGGAAAGAAAGGAAGGAAGAAAGCTAGGAAGGAAGGAAGGAAGGAAGGGAGGAAGAAAGGAAGGGAGGGAGGGA